TAAATTGAAAATAATGGACGGCTTATTCTGAAATCTGTAAACTTCATTCTATGAGGAATAATGCCTATTCCAAAATAGCTATTTCAAAATAAGGCATGTGAAGATGCTCCACTTCTGCTATTTTGAAATAGAATGGTCCTCATGAGGGGCTAAGTTATTCCTCTCCAGTGCCTCCTGGGGCTCTAAATCCATATAGCACATCTACATTAGGGAAGCCAGCCTCAGACTCATTTTGAGGCTTCCCTGCAGTCTTTCCTGCAATAACTATTCCAGAATAGCATATTTTGAAATAAGCATGCAGTGTAGACATAACCCTCAGATAGAGTTAGAACTAAACCAAAGGCTGCAGTGATTCCTAATTTGATTTTAGATACAGTTTGAGGGTTTGGTTAATAATCAAAACATTATGTGTCTTTTCAAGACAGATTCTTCCTTTCAGTTTAAATTAAATAACTGATTCGCTGGGATGGCTGACGTGAGTCTCATCCGAGGGCTTTAGGAAGAATTGTTAAAAGGTCTCCACTTCTGCAGTTCTTTCTAGTGTCAAACAGAGTCCAAGTTTTTAAACCCTCAGACCATGCTACAGCCAGGCTTTGTTGAAGCTGGTAGTTGGAGGGATTTGGGTTTTCAGAGGGTTGTATTTTCCTTTGGGTCACCCTTTTAGTGATGTTTGTTGAGTTGAGTTGATTGACATATTAAATGTTTCTTTACACTCATCACAAGCACTCCCAGAGGGAAAAAAATCACTTGATTGTGACACAATCTTTAATAGACTAAACATATATTAGTAAACTCTTGGAAAACATCTCTCCAGAGTCATCTGAACTGTAGAGGATGTTTGTTTCTTCAGTTGCTCCATAGTATCCACCCCATGTTTTGCAATGAACTCTGTTTCATGATGGATCACAGCTTTAAAAATAGTGTGCTTAGTGCCATGTGGGTAATGGGCGATTGTTTGCCTCTCAAATCAATCTCCTTGATTTGTACCTCAATCTCTCGAATCAGCAGTTTCATTTAAGGAGCTCCCAGTAGTCTGGGATACGACATATAACTGTAACAGAATACCATTCAGTTAGTTCTACATGACTTCACTTTTAAATGCAGTTTTGTCTGCTGGCACAATCATCGAAAGTAGAAGATAAGATCAAGCTTTTCCCCATGGAGCAGGAGTTGACTATTTAATGAAGAATGTAGTTGGAATCCAAATGCCGTGGAATATATATTTTCTGTATTCAGAGACAGTTTGTTAAATGAAAGGAGTGCAGCATATGGTCGGAGAGTTGGATAGTGTATCGATGAAATAATACAAATATGTGTGGACTCTTAATTTAACAAAAACTTCCCAGCAGCTGAGGAAAACAATTATATAAACATAAAAAATGTACGGCTGAAAGGAGCTCAAACTCACTAAGTCCAAACCCCTGTGCTGTGGCACAGCCAAGTAAACCTACAGCACCTACAGGTATCTGTCCCACTTATTTTTTTTTAAACTTGCAATGATATTGATTCCTCAGAAGCCTATTCCAGAGCTTAACTACCCTTATATTTAGGTTTATATATCAAGAAAAACTTTCTATTTTTCCCTTGCTGCAAATTAAGCCCATTATTTCTTGCCCTAGTTTTAATGGACATGGAAAACAGTTTGTCACCATCTTTATAACACTTCTTAATACATTTGAAGATTAATCAGATTGTCTTTTCTCAAGACAAAATGACCCCATTTTTTTAGCTTTTTCTCAGAAGTCAGGTTTTCTAAACTTGTATAATTTTTGATGTTTTCCTTGGGATGCTACAGTTTCTCCACAACTTCCTTAAAGCGTGGAGCCCAGAAATGGACACTGCACTCTAGTTGAGACCTCACCGGTGCCAAGTAGAGTGGGTTAATTACCTTACATATCTTACATATGGCAGTTCTGTTAATACACCGCAGAGTGATATTAGGGTTTTTTGCAACTGCATCATGTTATTAACTCAGTTTGCAATTCGCTATAACCCTCACATCCTTTACTGCAGTACTACTGCCTCGTCAGTTATTGCCCCATTTCATAATTATGCATTTGATTTTTTTTCTTTTCTAAGTAGAATATTTTGCACATGTTGTAAGTGATTTTCATCTTGTTGAATTCAGACCAATTCTCCAGTTTGTCAAGGTTGTTTTGAGTTCTAATCCTGTCTCCCAAAATAATGGTCATCTCTCCCAAGTTGGTGTCATCTGAAATTTGTATAAGTATACTCTGTTCTATCAGCCAAGTCATGTAATGAAAATATTGAATAGTACCAGGTCGAACCATTGTGCAACCTCACCAGATACTCCTTTGCAGTTTAACAGTGTTGCAAATTGGCTTTGTGAATACACATCTAATGACATCCTAACCTGAATGGTTTTATGAGAAGCAATACCATTCCATGCACATCCCATTGTCCTGGCACAACCAAATCCTTGCCTTGCTTTAAGTTTCAGTAAGAGAAAGATGTAGAACAAATTTGGTGCTCTTAGCTCTTACTATTTGGAGGTGTTCTTTAACAAACAGACAGGCAGACAAACTTTCTCAAATAAACTTTGCACTTTCTTATGATACAAAAGCATGCATATCAGAGGATTTTCTTTGGCTATTTTTGAGAGAATGGAGAACTCAGTGGAATTCTGGGTCTATGTGCCTGTCGCTTTATGGTTTATAGTCTGTACTTCTGTCTAAGCAACATAAATCAATATTATGAGTGCTTATGAGCACTTTAGGGCACTACCTTACTGTTAGACATTTAAAATACTCGATGATGTAAAATTTCACGAGTCTCCATACAACAACACTGAATCAATCTTCTTTCAGGTGCCTCAATTCTTAAGCCTGGAAGGAACAGGATAGATTTCTCATTTCTGCTGAGGCCACTTGCAAACCCTTTAAAATGCTAAATGAGTGTAAAGTGGGTGTAAATATGGGTATACATATAATCCATACTGCCAGAATGGAAATGAGAGTATAGGTCATAAGTTGTCTTTGAAAAGAACTCTGTGAAAAACCTTGCGAGATGTGGGGAGTCACCAGGCTCTTCACCCACATCTGCATTGAGATGTGACTCTCAGCCAGCAGATAGAACAGAAAGTTTATTAGTCAACAGGGACAGCACAGCACAGGCTTGTCAGCACAGTAACCAGAAGCAGTCAGTACAATCTGTCTTGGGGAGAGAGGACTGAGAGCCAAGGGCCCTGACCCCACCCTGTACTCTAAGGCAGAGGGACTAACACAGACCCAGCAGTGTGTCCCAGCCCTGCCTCTGGCCTTTGTCCTGCTTCCTAGGCAAAATGTGTCACCTGGTCACACCCCCATCACAGGCTTAGGCTACAGAAAGTGTCAAGCATACATGGGGCAGGCTATATCTGAAATTCCCATCTTCATCTAGGTATTGGTGCAGTGCCTAGGGAAACTGAGGTTGATATATGGGGCAATAGAAATCACATGCAACGTAACAAAGGAAATAAAATGCCCACAATCCCTACACCTTGAAGTAAAATCTTTGTCAAACACATCAGGCATTTCACATCAGGCATTTTCTAGAGAGGGAGGAGGTAGCTTTGACTGAAAAGCCAATAGCTGAAGATGAAATATTCAGATCAGCTCTTACAAGGTAAGCATCAGAGAACATTCAAGGAGGATCCTTAGTCTCTGGGCACAATGAGCTAGTGAAAACAAAATGGTGATGGCAGAGGCAGGTTTAGAAGTCTAAGGTGAGTGAGAACAAGGAGAAAGAACCTGTGTGTGGCAGGAAGAGGGTGGGAGGGGAAAATGGAGACGAGATCAACAAGGCTCTTTGGAAGAGGATTCTAAAGAAGAAAAAAGCAAGATGACAACATTTTAGATCCAGTTTAGTTCTATTTCATTCTGATCAGTCTTTCCAGTTAAAAATCAAGCAGCTGGAAAAACTGTGTGCATGCACATATATATTGGGGTCTCTCTTCTTCTTACTTGTCACTATACTTGTAATAGGGAGAACGCAGGGGAGGTTAGAGTGGACAGAATGAAGGATAGCTGTACATGTGTAGTAAGATTAAGTGCCTAACAAGATGGCCTCTTTTTTTATTGCACACTACTGAGAGGATGGAAATATGATCTTAATGTGCTGCCAGCTTTTTCCCCCCTGCAGTAATGGATATTAGCTATTGGATGCAAATTAAAATAATGACAAGATACCACATTAATGACGAATGTCGGGAGGAGAGGGTAACACAAGAGCTCCGGCTTAGCTAAAGCCTCCACAATGTCTGCTGCTGAGGGCAAAGCTCATAGTTTTCTGAAATTGGATAAAAAAAAATAAAATAAAATAAATTGGCTGAAATACTTGGGGCTTTTGTTTCCAGTGGGGGCAAGAGGTGTGTAGAAGCAGGTGAACACTTCTTCAAAAATAATAATAATAATAATAAACAAGCTGAACGCATTTGAATCTCACTAGAAACCAGTGTGATCTCAGTCTCAGGAGAGTTTCCTGGAGCAGAGGGAGTTCTCTTGACTAGTCTGCCTGCCAATTTTTCATTGAAATAAGAACTGTCTCTGTTGCAAAGGCTCTTCAGGCTCTGACCCATCAACTGTACTTTCTGCCCTTTAAAAATGTCTTTTTGAAATGATCTCTAACACAGACAGTGTTTAATCATTGCAACTGACAGTCATGACTGTGCCATGAAGCTTAGAAATGAAAGACTAACAAAAAACCTCAGCTCATTATTGTTTTTTATCAGCTATGATGCAAGGAAAAATATAGCTGATTTTGTCTATGTTTGCACTGTCTGATATCTCTTTCCACAAGGTGTCTGCTGGGAGATTTAATTGGATGTCACATTGGTAAGTGCGAGTGGGTTTTTTGTTTGTGTGTGTTTGCCCACAGTGGAATGAGTTACATGCTTGTAGTTAAGTGATATGACATGCCTGCTGTTGAGCTCTTGTCTGTGTGTCTGTAAATATTTTACTTGGACTTTAAAAGTAAAGGCTAATACTTTTCTCCACAGTTCCTACACGTGTACTACTTTAGCAAATGTTGGAACAGCACCCACATTTTTCTAATTAGAATGGTTGGGATTACTGAAATCTACAACTCCTGCTTTTCAAATTGAAAAATACTTTATTCAGCACCCTTGGCATGTGGGGCAGCTGAAAAGCAAGACAAGATCTCAGGGAAAATCATACTGAAAACTGGACAGCAGAAACACTATGGGAAGTGAATGACAATGGAAAACAAAGAGCAACCCTCTGTTGGAAAGTAAGATGTATGGGTTATATGCTGTAATAGATCTGCTATTTTTAGTTGTCATTTAAAAATTGAAACAGGTGAAATACTGAACTAGCCCTTAGCTTAAGGATTGAAGACAAGTGAAAGTAAGTGTTGGAGATGAGAAATGAAAAAAGCAAGAATGTGACACACAGCGTCTAGGAGGTGGGAAATTGGTGCAAATAACAGTGTTAAGAAGCAATAGCTGAAGAAGTGTTGCAAGAAATTGCACATTTTCTGAAGTAAGGTTTGAATTTTCCAGGGCAACTTTTTAAAATTAAATTGCTAAGACAGAAAACTTCTTTAGGAGAATTAAGATAAATAAACTACTTATATAAAACGAAGCAGAACAAGTGAAGTAGACAGAGGGCTGCAGACAGGAGAGTTTAAGAGGGAAAGCAAGAGGTCCTGCCACTGAACAGGCTGCCAGGTGAGAGTATTAGCTTTTGGTGTGAGTAAGTTTGCTCGACTATTTGAATTTGATTCTGATTTCAGGTGATTTCAGTTTCAGTTACTGTGGCAGTTGGGATTGTGTGTCTGGGAGTGTTTGATCTTTTGTTCCCTTGATAGCCTTTGATCAGCCTCAGGATCAGCCTTCCCCTCTGTGACTAAGGAGGGGGTAGGCCTGACCTAGGTGAGCAGGCTTTAAAAGCCAGAGGCAAAGAGACCAGGGGGCTGCAGACAGGGGACTTTAAGAGACGCGAATACTCTACACCTTGGAAGTCAAGAACTGACATGGGACTACTGATGCTAGGTTCTATTCCTTGGTCTGATTCACATGCTTTTAGACTGCCTAACCCAGTGTTTCCCAATTTTATTTGGCCACGGAACCCCTAGGGTTGCCTTAAAAAACAAAGCCCCGTGGTGTTTCGTTGAGCAACCCTCACCCCCAAAAAGCCCCGCCGCTGCAATTCCCGCCACTCTGTCTCTTTAAGAGGGGACGGGAGAGTGCTGACTCATCGCGGAACCCTTGCTTTTGCTTCGCGGAACCCCATGGTTCCACGGCGCACCAATTGGGAAACACTATTCACCAAAGTTTTATATTTTTGGCTTTATTCTCTGTGCCTCAGTCTACTCAACTATAAAATAGGAAACTGATCATTAATCCCCCTCACACATGTGTTGCAAAGCTGACCTGATGGTTTTCACATTTTTCATGATGAAATAGAAAAGGTCATGTAAAGTATATAGGGAGAAATGAAATTCCATTCTTAACTAAGGTTCTTTCTCATTGTCTCTGTTCCACACGTAAGTGTTGGTTAAAAAGATCACACTGTGCAAGAATTGATTGGAGAGAGGGATCCGAGGTCCATTTCAAACCCTGAGCAGTTCAGTGTGACTTTTGTACTTTCATTTAAAAACTTATTCTCACTTTGGATCTATTTGGAGAAATAACACCCGATGTCTTGAAATGTTAAAAAGATGTGCACGATAGTGGGTGAAATGCTCAATTTACCTTAAATGGAACAGTTAGTTCTGTGTATCATAGTTTCAGGGAAACTGCCTTCTGTTCCTCCTTCATGGCCCAACAAAAGCACTCATTGTAGGTTTGGTTTCTAGCTCCCAACCCTTACATCTCCTGAGGGGAGACCTCAATCTCACTGCCTCCTTTCTGCGGACTGCAGGGTTGAACACTTTCCTGATTTACTCTGTGCTATCCTTAGCAAGCCTGACAGCTTAACTAAGCTTAACAGGCCCATGACTGCATGTTGCTTTTTTTTGCAGGGCCTTGATGAGTGTATTTCTAGCAGTTACAAATCACTCGACACCTACTTCTAAGCAAGTGCATTTATTCTGTAGGTGAAAGCATTCCTGAGAAAACATAATAAAACAGTAAAAGAACCTATATATATAGTAAAAAGCTTACCAGAGATCACTCTCAACTCCAGCTCAGCACTCTAATAGGTTTTAATACTTCAAAATCCACAAATGGGTTTTCCTTATAGTTATAAATGCATCCATCTTAGGGTACGTCTTGGAAAGACTATCTTGGAAAAGCTCTGCCGTGTCCAAAGAATGTGTCTGCTTTTCTGAAAAAAATGTTGGAAAAGTGGACACATTTTGTCAGCATCCCTGTAAATCTCATTTCATGAGGAAGAAGGGATGTTCCAAAAGAGATTTTTTTCCTGACATTTGGCCCCGTGTAGACGGGCCAATTGCAGTTCGCAATTTGCCTATCTTATTCCAACTTTTCTTTGTAGTGTAGACATAGCCGTAGATCCAGAACCAGAAGCCCAACGGGACAAATCAGCCCTTTTTATATACAGTGTCGGTCTTTGATTGTTGACGTTCTGTAACAGGTAACCAGTAGACCCATTTCTCAGGACATAGCTTCAAAAGTATCAGTGTGCAATAACATCTCCCCAGGAATTCCCCAGGAAATACAATGAGTCTTGTATCACCTTAGGGCAAGTCTACACTAGGAAATTATTTTGAAATGAAATAATAACTCCTGAAATAACTTTTGAAATAGCATGTCCACACTACAGGGAAGACTCAAAATAAGTCTGAAGCAGGCTCCTTTAATGTGCTTATGCTACCTCAACTTAGAGTCCCAAGAAGCACTAGGCAGTAATTACTTTGACTCTGGGGAGTAGTTATTGTGAAATAGCATCAGTGGAGCATCTACACTACCACTATTTCGAAATAACTATTCAAAATAGGCATTATTCCTTATGGAAGGCAGGACTTATTATTTCAAAATAACCAGCTGATATTTCAAAATAATGGGTGAGGTAATGTGGACGCTCTGCTTGTTATTTCAAAATAACTCCCTAGTGTTGATCAGGGCTTAAAGACCAACAAATTTATTTGAATATAAGCTTTCCTTGGGCTGGAACCCACTTCACTAGACTAGGGCCGTGTCCACACTCAGGGGTTCTTTCGAAAAAAGTACCCTTTTTTCGAAAGAACTTCCCCTGCATCCAGACTCTAGCCGCGTTCTTTCGAAATTATTTTGAAAGAACGCGGCTTTTCTTTCGAAATTATTTTGAAAGAACGCGGCTTTTCTTTCGATGGCGGTAAACCTCATTTCACGAGGAAGAACGCCTTCCTTCGAAAGTTCCTCTTTCGAAGGAAGGCGTTCTTCAATGTAAAGAGGCCGTCTTCGAAAGAGAGCATCCAGACTCGCTGGGTTCTCTCTTTTGAAAAAGCGGATTTCCTCTATCGAAAGATCCGCCTGCTGTCTAGACGCGATCTTTCGAAAGATGCTCTTTCGAAAGCATCTTTCGAAAGAGCATCTTTCGAAAGAAGCCTGCAGTCTAGACATAGCCTAAGACTCACACAGCTACTCCTCTGTAACTTGTCACCAGGAAATACAATTGATATTTATTTCTCAAAACTTCTCAAACCTCTGGCATATTTGATATTCAGTCTTTGGAATTCCCAGGTCTCATGTGTGACATTCTGCCTTGCCTCTCTCAAGAGTCTATTTGCAATCCAAAATACATAATCTTACTGAATAAGGTCTTTCAATAATATTTCAGAAAGCTGCCATTACTTTCATGCTGTGCTCAACAAGTAGTGTTAGCTAATGCCACTGACTAGCAACATGGCTTCACAGCTAAGACTCCCTTATAGCAAATTGTCCCCAGAAGCTTTTTTAAATAGAACAAGCTCTTCTGAGGGAGTCTATTAATTCAGACATACCCACAAGTAGATTGGTTTTATATTTAAATAATTATGGCGATCCCATGATAACTAATGGTGGGAGCACATGGATTAAAAATAAGATGACTTTTACATAAGTGCTATTTGTTCTCTTTTGTAAGAAGAGTATTCAGAATATAAAATAAAATGCAAACAAACACATTAGGAAAAATGACACACTAATAAGCATTTTTGCTAGTGGGAGGGTTTCAGCATGAAACTAAACTCATGCTAGATTTCTCACAGGATTTGTAATGAAAAGAAGCTTTTGTTTAATAATTTGTAATCAATTGGTTGAAACCAAGGGAATAAGACAAGCAATAGCTACCATTGATTTGTGAAGAACCAATTATATCAAACCAACCTACTTTCCTTCTTTTACAGGCTAACAGACTAGTGGATAGGGAGCAGCAGTAGATGCTAAGAAGCCCTACTAAATTTATGGTCCAGTTTGGTCAATATTAGGGCTATAGGATTTTAAAACTAAGACATTTCATGATTTTAGTTATCTAAATCTGAACTTTCATGTTATTGTACGTGCAGGAATCTTGATCCCAACAGGAGTTGTGGATGGGCAATGATGTGGTATGTGTGTGTGTGTATGTGTGTGTGGTGGGAGGCTTGCAATATTGCTACTCTGAGCTTCTGTGCTGATGCTCATAGCAATGTTGCCTTCAAAGCTGGGCAACTGGAGAGCAATGGTTGCTGGTTAGGAGCCCAGCTTCCATCAATAGCAGTGCAGAAGTAAGGATGGCATGGTATGGTGTCATATTGTCACCCTTACCTCTGCACTGCTGAATCAGGATGCTACCTTCAGAGCTGTGCACTCTGTCAGTACCCATCACCCTCTGGCCACCTAGATCTGAAGGCAACACAAAAGTAAGGGTGGCAATACTACAGCCTCCTCATAAAATGACCTTGTAACCTCCCCTGCTGCATCTCCCTTGTGGGTCAGGACCCTCAATTTGAGAAATGTTGGTCTGCTGCATGATACCTATATAGTACAGGGTAAAAGTACATAAAACCCACACATTTCACAGCAAGGGAGATCAGATTTCATGGTCCGCAATGCATTTTTTCATGTTTGTGTAGGGCACTATTCATAAGCAAACTTAGGAAATATGGTGTAGATGTATTACTATGGGGTGTGTTCCAAAGGTTTGAAAGACTGTTTTTAGAGTAGCATCAGTGAATTGCTGTTAAACTGGAAAGCCATATCAAATAGGGTTCTCAGGGATCACACACAATGGTCAAAGGAGGGATGAGGTTGTCACAGCTGTTGAGACACCCTGAGGGGTACGTCTACACTTGCCCCCTAGTTCGAACTAGGGAGGCAAATGAAG